ACGAACTTCGAAGCTCTTTGAGTAGATAGGATACAATTAGATCTTTTTGAACAAACTTGTGTAGACACAAATTGTTTCAATACTTTATGATTAGATGGTAGCCGAAGAAAATTGAAAATGAAATTGTTTGGATGTCAGATGTGTCAGAGATCTTCTGCTTCACCCCATCATTGTATCAATATCTATATCTAGATAAATGTGTCATTTGTAGGAAAACCCACTGCGTGTGTGCAAGAAGCAAATTATAAAAGAAATCACCTTCGTGTCCGATTTTTTGGGCTTCCCCTTCAGAGGATCACTCTTCAATATTCTGATTTCTAAAGTATTTCTGATTACTTCGCGAAAGTTTCGAATCGTACAAACATCGGACTACTTCCTATATTTTCCAAACCCGTAGCTACTTTCCTATTCCGAGCTTTATTTATAATGAATATAAATAACCAGTTTAACCTATGATAAATAGATACATAAAATAAAATAATACTTTTGAAAACCATCAAGGTGCATTATAACTTACAAGATGAATACACAAAATGAATGTGTAAAAAAGAATGAAATGGCACAAAATGAAGATAAAATGCAAGTGTATTCATTACCTTTTGAGTAGTAGATATTTGAAAACCATGAAACTGCACAAAATGAATATACGAAATGGTATAAAACGGAGGAACATAAAATGAATGCATTACAAGTGTACTCATTACTTTTGAACGATAGGCATTTGAAAATCACAAAGATCACGTTACAAGTGTACTCATTACTTTTGAACGATAGGCATTTGAAAATCACAAAGACGAAGATCACCTTACATAAAATGAACGTATGAAATGGTACAACATGAAAGTACATGAAATGAAACACACTGCAACGTATACTCGTTACTTTCGAGCAGCGATTAAAAACCGAAACTCAGATGTCGAATTCGACTCGTGGTCCGTGAGTTATGTTATATTGAACTTGATACCACACCGCGTGACGGTCAACGAAGGAAATCTTTGGACACGGACAATCAGCGAATGGCGAGCTGCCAACATCAGTCAGTTAAGCGATCGATTGCGTTCGGCGTGCCGTGGCACACCGCGAAAGCGCATTCGTACGAGGTCTAAAGTACTCGCAGGTTTTATATAGAATGTAGTTCATGCTCATCATCCCGAAGATCAGCCGGCTGAGCCGTTCGACAAACGGTTCGAACAAAAAGCACTGAAAAAAGACAACTCGGTGCAAATAACCTTTGCTACGTTCTCCGACCTTCCCCCCCCTCGACCCCCTTTTCCCTCCTCTAGTCCTGTCTCTTTCGCCCCCCGGTTCTCGTCTTTCCATCCCTTTCGATTTCCCTCTTCGCCCATCTGTTTCAATCTTTCTTCCTCTCTCTCTCTCTCTCTCTCTCTCTCTCTCTCTCTCTCTCTCTCTC